CAACGTCCATCGAATTGAGACATGCCAGCTGATCACAGATGCGTGCAGTCAGTTTGCCCAGAACCCTTGCATGCGCATGGCACGCAACACATACAAAGGTGGACATACGCCAACTGGCTTGCTGGACAACTCGTGTTACACGTGAACTTGCAACGGCAAGACCACAATCCATGCTAGCATCGCGACATCTTGCCACAAGCTGGTAGTGCAACCATCGCATTCCAAAACCACGTCGCTTATGGCAACTGCGGCCATGCAGTCGAGAAGGTACCATCAAGGCTGTAGAACTGCCGCCATGACTGCTCACCCCTGTGCGAATGGAACTCGGGCGCCGCCAATCTTGGCCAATCGCTCTGTTCCGTCCTCTTCGCTGCCGTGCTGGGCGCTCCCGGGCGCCCCCGGGCCTTCTCGCATGACGCAGGAAGGCCCCCGAACAGGCCAGAGCGCCCCAAAGCAGGCAAAGAGGGCTCCAAGAGGCACCAAAAAATTATCCAGGAGGGCTCCGAAACGGCCGAAGAAAGCCCTGAGACGCCCGAGATGCCCCAAGAGGGCTCCAAAAGCCCCCCCCCAGAGGGCCTCAAGACTTTAGCGTTGTCGCCGGTTCGGCGCTCCAAGGCAGCCCACGATGCCCCCAAGATCGCCCCGAGACGGCCCAAGATGCGCCCAAGACCGCCCAGCAGGGCCAACAGTGGGGCCCAAGAGAGAAAAATCGACCTTCTATCTCGAGAGCTCTGCCCAAACACGATCGCCAAGACCGCCAGCAGGCCCATCAGATGCAACAAACAAGCCCTTGAGGGGGGCCAAGCAAACCTAAAGAGGTCCCCAAGAGGCCAATGAGAGACCCGAAGACACTCCAAAATCGCCTCCAAGGCTTCCGAGAGGAGGCCTCTGACGTACAACCCAGGCGCGGTGACGGGATGGGCCGACGGTCACTAGATCCGCCGCCTTCAGCGCTTGCCACAGGGGTGCACGGCGTGCTGAACCTCTAAGTGTTCTACGATACGATGCGATACGATACGACCACCGCTGCGGGCATCGTCCAGGCCTAGCTAAGACCAGATGGGCAAGGCAAGGCAAGGCCTCGGCCTGAGAAATCTGGCGTGCCTGGACAACATGCAATGCGAGACACATGTATGAAACATTATGCGGGAAAGGTGTCCGGAAGGTCCTGGAGGTCTCTGCTGGCGTGCTGCACGGTATGCACGTTTGTGCCGGTGAGGGAGAGGATGGGAGGAGGGAGGAAGACAACATCCGTAGTGTCGGCGTTGGCGCGGGTAGTGTGAGTTCGTGTTATTGGTCTTTGTCCTGTGTGGTTGCTGGTGCGGGGTCGGTGTAGTGATGTTCGAGTGCCGTCCATGTTTTCGGTGTCCTGGGCTGTTCGCATCCATGTGATGTCGTTTGGTTCACCTTTCGAGTGGGCATGTGCGGGCGGGCGGTGGAGGTCTGGTCTGCGTTGGCGTTAGTAAGTGTTGACTTCGTCGTCCCAGCGCTTGCGTTGGCGACTGTGCTGCCTCCGTCCCCACTGGCGCGGGTTGAGGTCTGATTGCCAGAGCGGCACTCGCCGTGCCCACCGTGTGGACTCAAGAAGCCATGTGCCATACCTTCCGCTTGTACACCGTCGTCCAGTTGTCGATGCGGTGGAGCTTCATGAGGTGCTCTGCACGTCGTGTCGCTCGCTGAATGTATTCAACCCACGGTTCCACTATGTCTGCTGTGGTCCTGTCTTCGCCGTTCTTGCTGTGTACGTCAGATGTGGCAGGCGTGTCGCGCTGGAGTGGGTTGCTGTCTGCGTCGTCGTCGCTAGTGCTATTGCTGCAATGGTCCTTGTCTGGTGTTTCGTTGTTTGTGACGTCGGCGGCAATATTCCCTTGGCTGCTGCAAGGGACTGCTTGTATAATTGTGCGTCGCCTCGACGTTCTGATGATCATGCGAAACATGCATCGCTGTGTCCGTCGTAAAGGCTGCCGCCGGGATTCCGTGAATGTTCAAGTCTCTGCACCATACAACGCTGTCGGTGTTACTGTCCTGTTCAAACAGTCGGAGTCGGTGAGCCAATTGGTAGTGTTTACTGGTCAGCTCCTGTTTGCGAGAAATGAAAAATGCCCATGCCGCCCTCGTGCGTTACTGAATTTCCGTGTCCATCGGTTCGTGGAAGCTGATCAAATGGCCGAAGTATTCGAGGCTGCTCTGGTACGGGATCCCCATGGCCCCAACGTCCTAATGTGTTTCATACCGTGGGCCCCTAAAAGGTCTAGACACTCTCGGGGGCGCGCTTATGATCCTACGCCGTTTTGGGGGGTCCCGCGCCGAGGCCCGCCCAAGGCCCCCCAAAACCAAAGATGACGAATCTTCCGTCATGAATGTTCACGACGCGAGGGGGTCTGGCGTCATGATGGCGGTGATGATCACGACGATGACGATGGAAGGAGGGAGGAGGGAGAGGGGGGAGGAGGAGGAGGAAGAGGAGGAGGAGGAGGAGGGAGAGGAGGAGGAGGAGGAGGAGAAGGAGTAGGAGGAGGACGGAGAGGAGGAGGAGGAGGAGGAGGAGGAGGAGGAGGAGGAGGGGGAGGAGAGGAGGGAGAGGGGAGAAACGTGGGGCGCGCTCTCTCTCTCTCTCTCTCTCTCTCTCTTCAAACGAGGACCCAACACCACAGGACGGTCTGGCTCTAGCCCCCATGCCTGCTGTTGCATGTCGTTCTTCCTCACGGCCTCACCCGGGTTGGACGGGGTCCACTGGGCGATGCGCTGCAGCTGCGCCTTCGGCGGAGAGGGCATCGGAGGGGAGGAAGGGGAGACTTGGAGAACGGAGAAAAGTCGAACATGGCGAGATGGAGCTACGGTAAGCGGCCTTCGAGGCGTCCCCTCGTCGCCGCGGCTGGGCGCAACTCGGGAAACTGGTACGGTTGGACCCGGGAAAGGGTCTGGGGACAGATTTTGAGCTGCCGTTGTCTCGACTTGCCGTGCTCTGGGCAAAGGCGGGAGAGGAGGCGGGAGGACAGGAGGCGAGCAAAAACAAGGAAGCAAGATTATGAGGACGAATATGATGAGGATGATGAGGATGATGATATTGAGGATGATGACGATGATGATGCTGAGCATGCTGATGACGACGATGACGACGACGACGACGACGATGATGATGATGATGATGATGATGATGATGATGATGATGATGATGATGGTGATGCTGATGCTGATGATGATGATGATGATAATGATAATGATAATGATAATCATAATGATGATGATAATGATAATGATAATGATGATGATGATGATGATGATGATGATGATGATGATGATGATGATGATGATGATGATGATGATGATGATGATGATGATGATGATGATGATGATGATGATGATGATGATGATGGCGATGCTAACTATTATTCTCCTGAGGCTCCTAGACCGCATACCAGCGATACTATCCAACGCAGCAGCTGAAGCGAAGCCGAAGCAGCAAGCGCAGGATGGGCCCCGAGGGTCCAACATACGCGGACAGAGGCAACTCCGAACATCATCGGAGCAGGCACAACAACGTTCAAAATTCAAAGGCGGCCAGCGCTAGCCTCTCTCGTGGTCCGTCCCCTGGAGGCCAGACGGGTGGTGGGTGGGAAAGGGTGGCAGAACTTGGAGCCAACATGGTCACGAGCATGCAACTATAGACGCAAGCACCGGTATGCTACGCAGGGCATCGGAGAAACCACATCTATAGATTTCAATTCTCCTGAGGCCCCTAGGCCGCATACCAGCGATAATATCTAACGCAGCAGCCGAAGCGAAACCGAAGCAGCAAACGCAGGATGGACCCCGAGGGTCCAAAAGGTGACACTGAACAGACGCGGACAAAGGCGAATCCCAACATCATCGGAGCAGGCACAACAACATTCAAACTTCAAAGACGGCTAGCGCTAGCCTCCCTCGTGGGCGGTTCTCTTCCGTCCCCTGGAGGCCAACCCCCCCGAACTCCTCGGGACTGGTCGTGAGACCGATAACCCTCGGAGCGATTGCAACAGGGCCACAGGCAATGAAGATTCACAACGATTTGCGCTCGAATCTGCAAGGGAGTGCACTTCTCGAGCTGCTTTAGAAAATGAGCGTGTTTCTCATTGCGCGTGATGCTCTTGAAACTGATCCAACGCCCGCGTTTTTGAATCGACTGCAGATCGGCCTTCTTCTCGAACCCGTCGTTCGACGGGCCCGAATGTCTCAGCCAATGCGGGGGGCCTCCACCTGGAGCTTCAAGCGTTTCAAGCTGTTTTTAAATTCTCTCTCGTACGTCGCGAGGTCGAAATCGAACCCAGGATTGCCAGCAGTCACCGAGTATTTCAGTGCTGCAGACATGTCTCGAACCCACTCGCGACCGCACACGCCAGCATCTACAGCGTCATCCGTCTGTCCTGTCTGAGTCCGCCGCCCTGACTCTACCGGAGCAAAAACTACCGCCCGACGGGCGGCAAAGGCGCGGCCTGCCGCGGGCTGACTGCGAAGGATGTCTGCCTCAGTGATTGCGAGCGTCTCCTACGGCCTCGAGTAAAGACCGGTCTGGAGCACTACGCATGCTGCCATTCGGATCAAGCCGCGGCGCAGCATGTTAGAGGCTATCGCGTAGACCAGTATGAGGGGGCACGGCAGTCCCGCCGCGCCTGGGCCGGCACGCTCCCAGCCTTTCAGCTGACGACGGGCGCGAGGTGGCAGCTGGCGACCGTCATGAAACCGATCACCCCGCAGCAAGATCCAGCCAAACAAACCGTTGCGTCCTGTCCCGGGGCCCATGCCATCAAAGAACATCGAAGCAAACCGCTGAACCATCTTCTCATCAACGTCCGCACGCGTGTAAACGCTGCCGACCCTCCTCCTCGCACCAGGTCTCGAAGTTCGCGACCGCGCTCCGATGCAACTGTAGTGTGGAAGATGCTACAGGCATCTGCCGCATGAAACCCACGCGAGAGCGACCGCCATCTGCAGCGCGGCGATGGCGGCTGGCGGCCTTCCCCTTAGCCGAGGCCCGGCGGCGGTGCAACGGGGGGGCCGAGGGCGTCGCCGCGACGCCTGAGCCTGGCCCGTTCCGCGGCGCCTGTCCTGCCGAAGAGTGCGCCGTGCTGCGCGAGGTAGGCGTCGGCAGCCCCACATGCCGCGTCGCGGCTCGCTGCCTCGCCAGCGGCTGGAACATCGCCCACTCGCGGAGGTCCGCGAGGGCGTCGCCAGCGCGCGGAGGCCAGCGAGCCACTCGCCGCCCCAGGGAGCTGCATCTCCCCGCGCGGCCAAAAGTGCAATCCTGCTGAGGAGACAAGCCCATCTCGAGCACAGAGCGACAGGGCACTGACCCGCAAGCGCCGCTAGGTTGCACCAGACGTGACCCCCAGAACCATCGGGAACTCGAACTTTACCTACAAGAGCCTCGTGACAACCATGCGCACAGGGAGCCTCCAAGCCCTTCAGCTCTGGAATGTTCGTGAGCACCAAAATCTACTTCTGATGAGGAGCCCCGTAAGCACGCTTAAGGGGGCCTCGCCCATTGAGCCCCTCGAAGACCCGCGCGACGCCCCGCAGCAGGAAAGCTCCAAAGGCCTGGCGCCATTGGGTTCTCGATGCTCCAGCCCACTGCACACCGCTGACACTCCCGAACCAGTTCCGATGTAAACTACGCAAGCTCCACCCCGAGACGTCCCGTAGCTCGGGCACGACGTAAGTTACGAACTCCTCGTCGAGCGATGCTCCATGAACGACATGGCGCCCCAAGATGCATAGCCCGGATCCTCACATATCGAACCCAAGACAGGACCATGTTTCGACTCTTTCGCCCCGTCAAGTCGAACTCAGCTCCGCGCTCGATACCCATCGGCGCCAGCACTCGCAAACCAGCTCCTCGCACTGCAGCGGTCAGCCCCGCTTCGCCAGCGAGGAGCCAAAAAAGACACGGACGTCTGGGGGAGGGGTAGAGTGCGTGGCAACAACCTCCTCACATTCGATATGTAGCGGGCGTCTGGATGGTAGGCTAGATAGATGGAGAAGAAGGCGAGGCAGAAGGACAGCAGCCTGCCACAGGCGTGACGGCGGCGATCCAATGAACCACCAACTGACGCTCTCGCTTCTTCTGAGACGTCCACTCAGGGTCTGGGGCCTGGCGCCGCCGAGACCCAGCATCTGCGACGCTCAAATCTGTCGGAACATGCCTCGCACGCCATCGCATGCGGCACCCGATGCTGTAGGCGGCGGCCTTCTGACACAACGGGTTAAGCACGTGCGATCGAGCTCGGCCCTTGTCAAAGCAACAGCAGCGCACCAAACTATCGCAGAGAATGAGACAGCGGTTGTCACGGTTGGCCTTCGCTCAGCAAAAACGCCTGCCCTCCTTCACAGTGATGTGCTCATTGTAGCGCCAGCGGCCCTCCACGGCCGCAGCCCAGCCCTCCGCGTCGGTAAGGTCGGTGGGCAGGGCGGGCACCACGTTCAGGAGCTCGACCTCACGCCTCTGGCCCGGGCGGCCAGCTCCGCGGCCGCGCGGGGGCCCCTCGCCCCGAGCCCAGCCCGCGCGACGGAACGGCAGCTCCCCCAGCTCGATGTCGCGCCAGGCTCCAGAAGACCCTGCAGCACGAGCGCCGACGTCAGCGTACTTTGCCCTTTGCCGCTCCCTCAGCCAGCGTAGACCCGAAGCCGTCTGTGACGCCTCGGAGCTGGTTGATATAAGCCGTGGTGTAGACTCTGGTCCTAGCGTTCGCCTCGACCTCCACGAAGCGCCAGCGCCCCCGCCAGCGGTGGGCGTCCCAAACCGCCCGAAGCGGCATTCTCCCGTACATCAGGCTGAACCCGCCCGAAAAAGGAGTCCGACGCGTCAACCTCGTCGGACAGAGGGGCGCCCAGGTCGACCTCGGATAGGAAGCAGGCGACTGCCGCCATCCGCAGCTCGCCTCTCACCAGCGGCGGCAAGGCGGCGCGACGCCGTGAGCCGCCCCCGATGAAGTGGCACACCTCTTGCAGGATCGAGAGCAGGCAGGGCTGCAGCCCCGGCAGCGCCACAGCGTGTCCAACCCCAGGTGCGAAGCTCAGGTCCACTAGCATGGCCTCTCTTCAGCAGGGCCTTCGTGGCGAAGTACAACCGCCACGCGAGCCGCAGCCTCTGGCGAACTCGGCGATCAGAGCCGCGTCGCGAAAGGCCCATACTCTCCAGCTCCTGCACCGCGATGTCGGCCGCGCGCAGACCCAGCCCGGCGACGGCAGCGCGGGCCTGGAACGCCTTCACGCCAGCAGCCGCATCAGCCGCCAAGCCTCCGACGCCTGAAGTTGTCGACGTACACGGCGGCCAGCGGCTTCCCAGGTCGAAGCAGCGGGGCAGGTCGCTTGTCCCGAAGCAGCTGGCGGTCTCCATCCAGGCACGAGGCTCGAACCTGGTTCGACACCACTTCCTGGGCGAAGTAAAGCGCCCAAGCCCAAACCATGGGAAGCACCCTCAGGCAGGGGCGCAGCATCTCTTCAGCGACCGCAAGCGTCCACCCACCGATGGAGTCGTCCCAGATGCGGTGGAGGCCCAGGCCCCAGTCCTCGAAACGCAACGTCGAGTCGAACCCGAACCAGCTCCACATCTCCTCTCTGGCCAGCCGGAGTCGCAAACGCCTCCAAAACCTCCGAGCGAAGCCGCGCAGCCACCCAAGTCGATCTCCGAGAGGCAAGCAGCGCCTCCAATAACGGTCCGAGTCGGAGGCCGATGACACATGTCGGTAGCCCTAGCGTCGAAAACGAAGCGGATGTTGCCATCTTCCTGGCGAACAGAAAAGGCGCCGCAGCGAGAATTGATCGCCCGCCCGAAGCCCGCGATGCCGATCTTAGCAAACCGGCAGAACAAAACAAAAACACGCCGCACCTCAGCATCGCCGCGAAGTAGCGGGCCCCAATACGGCTCGGGCAGACCCCCGGCCTCGCGGACCCGATCGGCCACCTCAGGCTCGGCGAGCTCGATCTGGCTCTGAAAATGACGCAGAAAGCCTGCCGCCTCAGCTGGCAGCAACTCAGCCACAGGAACTGGATGGATGTCCCCCTTGCACACCCTCAGCTGCGTGACGTCGTAGCTGGCCTCATCCTGCGGTGCGGCTCCAGTACGTACTGGTCAGTGGATCTGGGGATCCCCCGAAGGGGGCCTCTCGCCGTCCACCGCTAGGGGGGGTTGCCGAAGAAGTCGATCCGCTCCTGGGCGGACTCCAGCGCGCTGCGCTGCACTGCTGTCGGCGGCCCCCCACGCGGCCTGACTCGCCGAGCTTCGTCGACTCCTGAATTCACGCGGGAGGCGGCGAGGTAGTTGAGCGTCTCAACTGCATGCAAAACTCGCCGTTGCCTCTCAGCTCTGACTCTCCACCGTCGCGCGGTAGAGCGCGGGGCCCCAGCTGGCCTCCTCTCGACGTCCACCGAAGGCAAGGGGGAAAAGGGTCGTCGTGCAGCCACTGGCCGTGAGGCCACCAACTGCGCTTGGAACCGGCTCCAGCTTCACCAGAACGGCGCCCGCCGTCCTTGGGTTCGGCCAAGTCCTGCTGATGAGCGCCGATGGAGGAAGTCATCCCCCCTCCCCCCCCGAACCGCCGCGGGGGGGGGGGCCTGTCCTTGCCGCCATTATTATCCCCCTTTTCCTTCTTCTCCTTGTCGCCCTTCTGCCGCTTGTCGCGGTCGCCAGTCGGCCGATCTCGATCAAGCTCCTCCTCGCGCAGCCGCGTCTGCTTCAAGATGTGTTCTGGCGGGCAACCACGTGCTCCAAGTAATTCGGCACCGAGGCTGACCCGCTCGCCGCAGTCGGTCCTGCGACGACGTCATCCAGCCCTGAAAAGTCGGGGTGCCGCGGGTTCCTCTGCGCGGCCATCTCTATCTGGATGATGCGGCGCGCCGCCGCCCCCATGCAGTGGAGGTTCTTCGCGTTGAGCTGGTCCAGGCAGATGGCCCTGCGGATGCTCTCTAGCAAGATGCGGTGCTCATGGTTCCGAGCGCCACCTGCAAAGACACCGCTGAGCCGCTCCAACTCGGCCTGGTAGCTCGCAAGGTTCCCGCTGCCCGTGGCGACCGACGAAAAGAACTCCCCCATCGCGCGGGGGCCGAAATCTGGGGCGTCAGCCAACTCCACCTGCTCCATCATCTCGACGGCGTCTCCGAAAGCCACGTCACGACGCCCGAGCCTCGAGCGATGGCCCCCGATGGTACGGATGTCAACGCCTCGCTCACGCTGGTCTCGCAGCCAATCGCCCCGCTCCTCGCGATGGAGCTTCGCGATCAGACGCTCCACACCGTCGAGGGAAATCACACCCATCGACCGCATATGCACACATCTATTCGGATTATCGATGGCCTGTTCGTCGAGCACCTGGCCGAACCTCGCGCCCCGCGGATCACTGATCACCCAGACCGTCGCCTCCTCCTCCAAAGCGCCTCCAGCACCGAGCAAGGCCGCTCGCTGCCGCGCCTGACGCTTCATCTCGGCCAGCTCCCCCGGGCCCGCGGGATCGAAGGCGTAGACCCCTGCCAGCGCCCAGTGCGGGAACGAGCTATTGCGATCCAGGGCATATTGACGCAGAGTGTTCAGGTTGTGTCGTGTGATCTCCATGTCGGGGGTCAAGCACGACCACGCCCCGTCTCCGAGATGGAAGAGGACTCGGTGATGCCATGGCAAGGCGCCCGCTGGAAAGTTAACCACGATCTGCGGTTCCCTGATGTCCAGGGTCCGCAGGCGAGCCGCCATCTCGTCTGCTGCTAGGTGTCGCCACCAAAGCTCGAAGAGGATGGTGGCCGATCGTCAATCACCGCCGATCCCGCCGATGCAGTCGCCGCCACGCTAGCTACGCGAGCCCCTCCAATCGCACGTCCGAGCACGTAGCCCGCTGCGCCGCCCAGCGCAAGCCCGCCCAGGCCTGCCCCCGCGGCCGCGCCAGCCCCAGCCAGCAGCAGCCAATAGCCCCCCTCGGAGGCTGGGCAGGTGCACTCGCAGCGCGGCGCAGTGCAGGACGTCTTTCCTCTGAGAATCGGGGTAATATGACAAAGGAATTAAGATCTCATGTTCACTCTGCTCAGGGAGAGAGGGGGCGGGATGAGACATCGATAAGACAAGTATCCGTTAAGCAGGATTACTCTATCAGGAATGCGAAGGGAGGAAGGCGGCTGGCCTACGACGACCGACGACGCGCGACGGCCGAGGGCTGGCGCGCTCCTTTTCTCTCCTGCAAGCCAAGGCTGGCTTGTTCGAGCATCCATGCAGCTGCGGAACGCAGCTGCCAGTTCCAGCGGACAGCGCAATGCATGCAAACTAAGTTAAGTTCTAATTGAATATGAAACGGAGAGGAGCATATTTACTCCCCCCGCGGCGGGCCGCGTAGAGCCCATCCAGCCACAGCACCCCTGGCCTGTACATATGTACAACCACCGGAGCCAACCCGAAAAAGCTTTTACAGCTCAACGGTGGCTGCCAGGGGGCCAAGGGCCGAAGAGGCTCGACGTTTCCCACCATTGTGATAAATGAATTCTCTCCGCTGGGCCGGCCTAGCCGACGAGCAGAGGCATTCGCATCCAACACGCGTTCCGCGCGTGGCTGAGATTGTCTTGCATGCGCCTGCCGCGACTGAGTCACGCGGGCGAAACTCAGCTCAAGTCCTCAAATGGGTTGGGCTCGTCCTCTGCTCTGGGCGGCGCCGGAGGCGGCGGGTTCGATGACGCCGATCCTCCCGTCTGTACGTCCACGCCACGAGGCGTGCGGGACCGCCCTCTTCCTTGATCAGTGTCGCTCTTTGATGCTGTCCCTTTCGACGGGAAGCGTAAATTGTGCTCGTATGTTGATAGCACGTGCCAGTAGTTCAGAATATACCACTCGTCGTCGGGCAGCCACGTGATTCTGTTCCGATGAACGTAGTGCCCGGCGTGGATTTTGTTCACGTAGCGCGGGTAGGACATGGACGGGTCGTACTCGTAGCTGTTGTCCGCAGCGCTGCTGGCAGCATCCATGGCCGCGCCGCCGGCAATATCCATGGCCCCATCGCGCGCGCGCCGTGAACCCGACCGATCCCTCATGCTGGGATGCTGAGGGTATGTCTCCCTAGTCGTCACGGCTGAGCCGGCGACAGAACGCGGGAACTCAGTGGCTTCTTCGGATACCCGAACGTCTGAGACGCCAGGTCTAAGAGGCGGAGGGCGCGATAAAGGTCTAGCCTTCGTTCCAGCCGGCGCCGGTGGCCCCACGAACTCGGCTTCGCCGTCGTGGTCTGGATTGTTATTCCTACGATCTCTCATGAATTGTATTAAACTCTTGGCAGCTGTCGCTGCAGCGACACCATATTTTCCGCACGCAGCACGGAAGGGTCCATAATCTTTGTCCAGGAGTTCAGTACCAGGGTCAGGATATTTATCCTGGAGCCAATAAATGGCTTCCTGTATAAGAGCACCGTGGCGACGGACATCATGTTGCACTTTCCTGCCCATCTTATGGGCCCACTTATCTATTATGTCGTCCGTTTGAACAACGGCACGGATGCGGCAGCCCAAGGCATGCTCATCGGTCCGTCTTTTCGAAGCAATATTTTCCGCGCGCGCCATATCGGGACAAATGATTCGCCCCGGGTAACCAATAAAGTAATCTTCCGATATGAAGAAGTTGATTATTTCACGGACAATTGCAAAAATCCTTATGGGCCGAAGACCCAGTTGTATTTGTTGTACCGAGGCCAACCAATTGTCATCTACTATGTTCTGGATGATAACCGGGATCACGTGTTGTCTTGTTCCGGTCAGGGTAACCCTGCCAGGATTAGTAGGGTTTGTACCTGTGTGTTCAATCAACTACATAATGGGCTGCAGCTGCCCGAACTTCTGCCCCGAACAACCTTATTTTGATCAAAGGGTCATCGCGGTGAAAATATACGTGTCCCTCAGAATGGTCAAGAGTGATGGTTCCGTCAGTTATCAGCGTGGCCTTAGGCCCGCCGATTGCTGAGATATCGAGATCCATATGTGATTGCTCGCGCGCCATCGCGGCTTCGCCGGCAGCATGTCGCAACGCCGGGATAATAAGACTGTGGTCCCGACACATGCGAATCCGTCCTGAGACAGACTGAGAACTGCGAGTCGGCCTCGCTCTAAAATTGTTCTCCCAGGCAACTGGTAATCGCGCAGGAGGGTTATTGTCTCCGGCGTTGTTCCCACACTCTTCATCCAAGGCGCCTGCATTCTGCGTGGGTAACAATGGTCTCCCTAAGTTTACCACGTCATCGATTGCATTAAGCGTTGGAACAAAGACATTTGTTCTAGTCATGTTGTTGTACCACCTCTCCCAGCCATTCCGAGGGGTGACTAAGTCATCCTCTTCGTCCGGCCAATAAAAGGCCTCCAGGGCTGGGCAGGATCTCGGGCGAGCGCATTGATCAAACTTAGTTTCCCACAATTTCGGCCACCAGGTATGAATAGGCGGGGTTTGCCTATTTACGTTTCTGGCTGAATATTCAAGCCACGATATGAACCTTCTGACCACAGGCTTCAAATATTGAAAGAAAAGGGCATGTCGCGCCGGTGGCTGAGCCTCGGCGTTTTCTGGGACCCAAGCTGGGAAGTTGCCGGGCTGGCTATTGCCAAATGCCGTGCCAGCGGCCGCCATCGTAGTAAATTGTCCAGAGGCAAATTTTCGCTCCTGCTCACTGTTGTTGCTGATGTTTTTTCATGACATTGGCAGAAGCTCTCGCTTGCCTCTTTGCACGCGCCTTTAAGTATTCGTGGCGATTCCATGAAAGACCCTCTTCATGATCCACCGCTATGAAGAGGGCGTTCGCCTCTAGGGACAGAGGGGTAACTTTGTGATTCCATGTCTGGGTCATGTAATCGTGCGTGGCCTTGTATTTGTATTTGACCGGACAATTGCAGACAAGACAGTTGGCAAAACCTGTCCTCACCCAGTGGTGCCAGCCGCGCAGGAACCTCCCGTCGTCCTCCCAGGGGATGGATATAATTCGATCCTGGATCTCGGTCGACAATCTTGGCCAGCGGTTCCATGATATGATTATTCTCTCGTCTGTATGGACCCAGGCAAGGCAATACTCGACCCACTGTCGAAGGCGACCTCGTATGAAGACAACTCGCGATTGAAGAGTACCGTCCAGCGCATCTGATCAGCCTGTCTCACAAGAGAGACGGCTTTGTCGATGTCTGTGAATCTCGGCACTTCTCGAGACACTAGGGCCCCGCCTGGGCAAACCCTGTGCGAGAAGCGAGTGAGCACTCTGCCGGTAAAAACAAGGACAATATTCCATAGCTCATGGTGGTTGGGAAGACGTTGCCACAGGTGGTGGGTGTCATCTGCGGGCCAAGTCCCCGCCGATGGCGGCTCCCCTTCCTGAGCTGGGTTATTCATGGGCACTAGACTTCTCGCCGCGAGAGGCTGTCCGTACCTCCGCTGGCTGAGCCACGGAGAAATGTTCGAGGGATCATTCACAGTTGGGCTATTGTTAGCCGGAAGAAATCGCAATAATTCGTAACTTGTGTCCCGGCAAAGCCCAGAGTCGCTCTTCGGGAAGCGAACTCTTCCACTCGTAGATTCCAAGAGTGTTTGTAAATCTGTGATATGAAGAAGGGAGCCGTGACTCCTGACTTGGCCAGGGTCATAGGGGACGTACATCCTTTCAGTTGAAGCAGCGAACGTTGAATGTCCCTGGCGTGCTCTATAGAACATGGGTATCGGCGTCTCCCCTCTGTCTTCTTCTTGCGATGAGCCCTCCTTGTGTCGTGCCCACATGGCGTGATTTTTGTTCCAATAATCTTGGGGCGATCATTGGGGAAGATTCCCAAAACTTCGACCGTCCCTGGTGGCAGCGCAGCTAAGCTGTGTGCGGCCAGGGCGCACGGCTGGAAAGTAAAACCGTCGTCTTTTTATTTTCTGTACTAGGTCTCCAAAGTAGATCCAGCCTCCCGACGATCTAGCATAGTCGGAGCAATACCTCGCAAGGTCTACAGCGCACTGCCCTAGTTTCTTGCCCAGTACGTCCGTTCTGTAGCTCAGGCCACACCAGGTGTCCGAGGAGCCTAAGGCAGCCGGGTTTTCTTCACTATCTTCTCCAACTATCAGCGGCTGCAGGCACGCATAGGCCCCAGGGGTAAACCCGTCTGGAACATCATCGGAGTGAAATTCAGCTCTAAGGTAATCCTTTGCCTGTGCGAAAGTTCCATCGTCCTGATTGAGGCCCCCCAATACCGCAAAGATTGGGTCCTCTACGAACTCGGCCATATATCGAAGCGTAATTCCTGTCCGACTGCGGATGGCTTCGACGTGCGGCGGTACGGGGCCCGTAATGTGGGCGTCTTGGATCATTTGCTTTAGTGGTCCAGGCGTATTCCGAAGTATCAGTTGACGTTCCTCTGTCGTCACATACAGCCGCTTTTGAGTACAGCAGCATGCCCCACTGTGACGTCTCGATCCCTGTGGTTAGGGTCCATGTATAGTGGCCGGCTCTGTCTTTTGTCAGGAGCAGGCGGAAGACCCAATCTGCGAAACATATTCTCAGATGCTGGTCCAAAAGGAAAATTCTCGTCGTCCATGGATTCTAGGAACTGGGGATCTTCTTCGTATGGGAACGTCGTACAAAAGTCCCAAGTTCCCGTGTCCGTCCCAGGGATCTCCGGAT